TTCGGTCTTTTTAAGTAGGTGCTATAAGCACCTACAAATTATAATTACAACATCGATAACGTCTAGATTCGTATTGTTTATATAAATTATATATACAGGGTGATTCAGAAATTATCCAAAAAAAAATGTTTGAATGTACAATTTTGTAAAAAAAAGGGCAATTCGAAAATAACTTTAAATTACACTTCTGTACGGCATTGGAAACTGGTGCACTGTAAAACCTAACCTTCGCAAGGCAAATCATGCAGTCGGCGACCGGCACGGCGGCAAAGTGTAATAAAAAATGAACGGACAAAAAATTGAAAGAATTTTTTTCCCAAGGAAAGAAATAAATAAAATTTTATCTATTCTATATCAGCATTCAATTCAACTGCTTGTGCCGCTATTGTTATTATTTATTAATAAAATTAATTCTTCGTTTTAATTAATAAAATAATTTGATATACCTGATATTACAACAACTGTTCAACATTTTGCCCACCAACGTGTAAACACATTCGAACCCGTCTTACTCAGCTTCTACGAACTAACACAAATATTGGTTCACCATAACACAAATGCTTCATCATAACACAAATATTATCATGCGTCACCATAAATTAAAACGATATCCATCAACTCCGATTTGCTATACATGTAGGCCATTTTTGACACTTGAAAAACTAATGTAAACACTATCAACGACGATAATACTAAAATTGAATTTCAGTATTCCAGACTAAACTAGCCCAGCGATGTAAAAGTTCAAAATACTACAACTTCAATATATATATATATATATTTTTTTTTTTTCGGAAACTACAAGGATTTTAGAATTTTATTTTACAATACTCTAATTTTCATGACGCACCTATTCCCATTTTTTTTTTTGGATAAGCAGTAAATTTAATACTAAAGAATGAATTAAAAGAAATTGTAATGTCTTGTATAATATTACAATAGGTAGTTAATGCTACAAATGATATTATGATTTTACGCTCTCATGGTCCTTAAGCAAGTATTAGTTTTAATAGGTCCTGTAGCTCAGTCAAATTAGAGTTTGAACGTAAAAAAATTATTAATATACATTTTATTGCACTTGATGACTGTGAAGGATATGTAGAATGATAATATCAAAGAAAGTGACGCTAAGTTGGCAAATTGCAAGTGGCAAAATTAAGTGCTTTTTTCATTTTTTTTACTGCTCAAAAAAATCTAGACAACCTGTCGGAAATTTAATTATTTTATGTTATAGACTATTAAATTATCTATAATTTATGGTAACTTTCTTAAGTCATATTTCACCAATTTGTTAACTGTAAAATAATGGTCGAACGCGGAAAAATCAGTTTTCGAAAATTGCGCATTAATATTGCAAAAAGCGTTAGACGTTAATGTTTATGGAAAAGACGCTCAATCTAATGACTATCATGTGTGCCAAAGGCCGATTCGATAGACCGTGAAAATGTTGCTCCAAGTATTTGTTAATTCATTTCGCTCGGTTTTGCATCTAATTATTTTCATTTGATTTTTCTTTTTTTACCTTTACACATATTGGTGTGTTAATATAAGAGACTTGCTTCATTCGGCATAATTATACTACAAATATAAATCATAATTTTTGCAGAATAAAAATAGCCCCTCTATTTCCATTCCCCAAACCCATTTTCTAAGGTAATATGACCATAATTTTCCACGATAAGTTTAAAGTTTCTCAAAGATTGAGTTCCGTCCAGTATACATACTTAAATTTCTTCCTTTAATCTTGGTAACGAAGTCAAGTCCCTTGAAAGAGTAAAACGTATTAAGTGCTTCAAGTGAGTGAAAAAGACCAGTTTTATTTTAGACGTAAATAAAAGGCACTCTTGTTGGAGAAGCTGAAAGGATAATATGAACCACAGCGACATATGCAGTGCACTGTGAGTAAACACATTGATGGTAATGAGATAATCCACTGACATAATAATTATTGAGTATGCTTTTACTGTTTTATCAAATTTAAACATTGAAATAATAGATGCGTCCCCCATTAAAAGTACTACACCTATGATTGACATAGTTGGATGTAAAATCATAAACAGTTATTTCGTTGCCTATATATTTGTTATTTATATTCCACCTAATGTATCGCTATTTCATTTTGAATTGTTTACTGAGAATTTAATAACATTATGTGTACAATATGGTAAAAATATTCTTATCATGGGTGACTTCAATGTTCCAGGTTTTGGAGTAGATAGAAATAATACTAAATAAATGTGAACTTTTGAGTAGCTTAAGTGAAATGATTAACCTACAACAATATAATTTTGTTACAAATAATCAGGGTAGGTTGCTTGATTTGGTATATTCCAATTTTTCTTGCAAGGTGTCTAGAGACAATTTGCCTCTTGTCAAAGAAAATGCTTACCATCCTGTATTGAAAGTAATATTTAAATGTGTATTGCAACATTATGATCAATTTAATAATAACAACCTCAATTTAAATAGGGAATATAATCCTTTAATGTATGAGTTAATTGCGAATGCGGACTGGTCTGAAGTATTACGAAGTGAAAATATTAATACTGCTTGTGAAGTTTCTTATAATATACTAAATAATATTTTTGATCAGTCTGTTCCATTAAAAATTAATCCTCGTCGCCGTTTTCCACCCTGGTTTACTAAAGAAATTATAACAAATATTCGTTCTAAAGAATCTGCTTTGAAAAATTATAAAAAGTTTAAAACTGATTATTATTTCAATAGATACAGTAATTTAAGACGTACAGTTAAAATTCAAATTGAACAGGCATATAAAAGTTTTATGGAGAATTCTAAACGTCTCATTATAGCTGATTCCTCTAAATTTTGGTCATTTGTAAAAAATAAGAAGGGGCATTCTAATATTCCGGGTGTAATGAAATTCAATGATATTCAGAAAAAAACAAATTCATAATTATGATTATACACTTAATGATATTACAATCTCAAGAAGTGATTGCATTCGGCAAATGCATTTTTCCGAAAAGGTAAAAGTCGCACGGTGCCAAATCAGGTAAGTACGAGGAATGGTTGACAGTTAAAATGCGATTTATAATGAAAAAATCGGTCACAAGTGTCGATCGATAAGAAGGCGCATTACCGTGCAACAAATTTCCTCCTGTGCGATATTTTGACCGAATACGATGAAGATGCACCAAACGCTTCAAAACGCCAAGATAGAATTGTGCATTAATGGTTTGGCCTGGTGGAACAAACTCTTTGTGGGCTATGCCTTTGGAAGCAAATTCACATTGTCTTCACTTTTGACTTCCTTTGAGTTCTGGCTCGTCTGGCGCCTTCCACTCGGCACTTTGCTTGGTTTCTGAAGTATATTGACCGTGTTTCATCACCAGTCACAATGTTGTAAAGGAAGGTTTTTTTCGCTTTGGATGTCTTACGAATGTTAAATTCTGAGCAATTTTGAACATGTTAAATTCCAATTTCATAAATTTCAATGAAGATTTTGGCTGATGCAATCACGGATTGGTGATCACGGATATCGGTTGACCAACATGTTGCTAATCATTTATGTACTCACGACCATTTGTAAGCCGCATATACCACTCATGAACTCTGCCACAGGATAAACAATCATCACCATAAACTTGGTTCATCAATTGAAATGTTCCGATAAAAGTTTTACCAAATTTAAAACAAAACTTAATATTAGCTCTTTGTTCGATGCCCATTTTTGTACAGATGATACAAACATACTGTCAATTCAGACGCAATAACTTCGCTTAGATTCGTCCAAATGCCATGAAATTTTGACAGTACCTACTTTTCCGATACATGTAATGGCCAATAGATGGCCTAACAAGAATTGTTGAAAAGTCCTGTTTATTTTGGAACTTACCTTGTACTAAAATTAACTAATTGCCCTTATATATAATAATATTATACGACAATAATTATTTTAAAATGTTCAGTATACTTTTACATAAGTATTTAGAAAATCTCTCTTTTTTTGCCAACTTACCTATCACAACCATCATACACGTTTGCCTCTTATTTCCATTGTTACCTGTAGTGAAGGTTTAATTAACCAAAGGCATGATTTGATTGAATGTAGGTAATGTATTCATAAATTATTAGTACAGTATGATCATTCTCTTTGTAATTCTTTTTATTATACACTAGCTAACCCGACAGACGTTTGTCCTGTCCAAATTTCAAAAATTTGTTTGTGATAAGCACTTTCAGTTTTTCCCGAATTTTCCAATTTTCCGGGTAACTTTTCCAATTTTTTTTCCCTTATTCGGACTATTACGAACATTAAAAAAAGTAGCCAAATCAATCCAACCGTTCTCCAGTTCAGTGGTTCAATTAAACATTTTTGAAACTTCGATTTTTTATTTCCTTTTTGGTTATAAACTCCCTCTTAGTTAGTACACATTCTTTTAATGGAATGTATTATAGCTTTTACAATAACTCTTTTGAATATCTCTGTGGCAAGCTCGACAACAATGGTCATACATTTTTTTAGATGTTTAGAAATTATTTATACTTTTAAGTAATCAATCATGTAAGTAGTGCAATTATTAGGAATCTCTTAGAGATTGTTAATTAATAATTAATTGTTTAAGTTTGGCGCGCAAATATTCAATTTCATGACGTTATTTAGTGCGATCGAGAATCGAGAAGGTGAATGATAGGGACAGGACGTCCAGATGGCACCAGAATGGTAACAAAAGTCTACAGTCAGCCAAATTTACTTTGCTTTTGGTATGGGAATCGTAGACTAGATGGCAGAAGAAGTTATGTTTTTGGTCGCACTAAAAGACATCAGAATGCGTTCTTGAATTTAAATTTTGATATTCTAAGAAAAATGTCTTTTTACACATTCCTAGGGCTAGACAAGCAATATTCTGTTGGGCCAAATGGATCCAACGCCCATCTTCCCATACCTTTCCCATAATTCTAATCGCGTCCAACTATTGTGACAGGCAGGAGTAAATCTGAACCTCTGCCAGAAAAACTCTAACTGAGATTCAGACATGAAATCTGTATCTCAAACAAAAGCTCAAGCCAAAACCAGGCTGAAGCTTCAACAGCTAACTCAAACTGAAGTACAGTCAGGTAAACCCAAGCTGAAGCTTGGACAGGCAAACTCAAACTGAAGTTCTACAGGGAAACTTTGGGCCAAAATCAACTGAATATTTCTTCTCTGTTCTAGAGATGTTACTGCTTGTCATAATAGTTGAACATGGGTAGAGGAAGGCGGGTTGAATCATTTTATCTCAAAACAAGTGAATATTGCTTGTCTGGCTTTAGGAATATCTAAAAAGATATATTTCTGCCATTACTACCTGTCATAGTCGATTTATTTTTCTAATTGGGCCGAAACATGCACTTAATGGTCCCCCTCCTTTGTGTAGTTCTAAAAGAAATAGAATTTTCCTGCAAGCTTCCTATTTCATTGAATTTCACAGACATAGATTGTTTCACTTACAATTAGCCTTAAAAATTTATTTTCTTTTAGGGATAAGACTGATTGTGAGTAAAAAATTCCTTTGAAATAATTGTGCCTAAATTATATTAGAGAAAAATTCCATAATTATTGTTTTAACACATGAAATTACATTGTGGTTTTATTAACAAAGTGTAAGTTTCACTCAATTTGATTGATACACAATTTGAGAAATATCTCAAATTCGATAACCATTGAGTGCGAGTTAAGGGAAATTTCACAATTTTTTTTAAATTGAAAAGAAGTCGTAAATAAGTAATTAGTAAACTAGTGTTACCGATTTTTTAACGGTCAAGATACTTTAGCATTCAACTGGCATATTAATGTAAGAATAGTAGTAAGTAAAGTATAATACGAGTACCTACATATTATGAATAATAGTATTAAGAGCGCAACAAAAGAGTAATGCTTTCAGAATCCAAAATATGCTTTCTGTATGACTGGATATGGACAGTCCATTTATCTTCAGATATTACGTCATATAAACTCAGTAATATTGTAAATTGTAATAAATCAGTCTAAAAATATGCGCATTTCGTCTATGGACGGGGATATATTTTTCAGCGGAAATAAACGTGATATAAAATAAAATGATATTAGAAAATACGTATCTCTGTAGTTGTTCATTTAAACTACAATTCCGTTAAAACAAGATATATGATTCATTTCAGCTTTACTGTTAATATCGTCATGAGATTATTATGTTTTCATTATATCGGCAGTAATGTGCTGAAAAAACAGCAACCAAAATGAACGTTAAACATTGTTTCGCAGTTGTACAGCTGTAATAATTTCATGTGAGAATAACTATTATGAATTATTTTTCTTACAGTACCTATTGGAAAAGTATGGAGTTTATTAAAAAACTGTTTGTTTATTCGTTAAACATTTAATTTTATAGCACATTTTTTAAAACAATTAAACGTGCTAGTTGCTATTTGAAAAAACAATCCTCAGTTTTGTTTTTATTGGAAAGTTGAGAGTAGATCTACATACTGGAATTTTGAACTATATTCACAATTGTAGACGTTGGCACTCGTTTCGTAATGTTTAATAATATTATTATACATTCTGTAGATCAATATTTACCGCTTCGATATCGTTTAGTGCGTTCATCGCATTCCGGTATAATAATGTGGTTTAATGCTACTTTTCGACAAATGAGGCAGCAACTACAGGTTCTTACAGAAATTTGTAAAAGAAATCCATCAGATTATAATAAATCTAATCTTAAATTATTTAGATCTCGCTACCGGTTTGAAATTTCTAAAGCTAAGAAAATGGCTAACGGTAATTTTATAAAAACGCATACAAATCCCCAAAAAGCAATTAGGAATTTAATTAATAATACTAAAATGAGTTATTCAAATAATTTAAGTAACTTGACACCCGAGCAGTTTAATAACTATTTTATAAATGTTGCTAACAATGTTATAAGCAATTTACCCGTTAATAACAACGATTTAAATAGCCGCCTCCAATTACTCCGTCCAGTGATTAATTTTTTGAAGTGTCCCCTTGGGAAGTAATTGTTATTGTTAAGAGTTTTGAGAGCAGACCCTGTTTGTAATGTATATAATATTTCCACAAAAATTTTAAAATCAATAATCGACCCAATATTAATACCTTGCACTGATTTAATTAATTATTGTATACGTAAAAATATTTTCCCCCAATGTTTAAAAATTTCTAAGGTTGTTCCTATTTATAAAAATAATGATATTAATGATCCCTCTAATTTCAGACCTATCTCTATAATACCTCATCTAGCTAAAATATATTAAACTATCTTAAAAATACAAATAACTAATTATTTTGAGACTCAGGGACTTTTCAATCCTCAACAATTCGGTTTTCGAAGTAATCTATCGACCACACTAGCCATAGATTGTCTAACATCCACAATTAACAATAGTTTTGAAGAAGGGAAATACGTTGCTAGTCAATTTTTAGATCTGACAAAAGCTTTCGATTGTGTATCACACGAAATTCTTATACATAAGCTACATAATTATGTTTTTTCATCATACAGTTCGGAATTATTAAGATCATATTTGAGTAATAGTTTACAGTATGTTGTATATAATAATGTGAAATCATCCATAAAAAATATTGAACATGGAGTTCCACAAGGTTCCATATTGGGTCCGTTACTGTTTTTGATTCATATTAATGATTTTCCTAATTGTTTACCTTATGATACTAAAAGTATACTCTTTGCTGATGATACAAATATAACTAGAACCAACTTAAACTTTGAACAGTTAACGACATCAACTTATGACCAACATGCATCGGTAGAAAACTGGATTACTAGTAATCAACTCAGTTTGAATACTTCGAATACCGAAACTATGATTTTTAGTCACTGGAATATGGAAAACTGGGATAATTCAGCACGAGTAAAATTCTTGGGAGTTCATCTTGACCCTAAACTGACATGGGATCAACATGTTAATTTAATTATGTTTGCTCCAAGATATCAAAGCATACTTATTTACTCCGGAGTCTCAAACGAAGAGTCTCATCATCAAGCTTGCTGATAGTTTATCATTTATTATTCCATCATAACATATGCTATTTTAGTATGGGGTCATGCTCCCTCTATAAAAAAAGTTTTTACTCTTCAGAGAAAAAATATTAGAATCATATCTTATTTATGTCAAAAAACACATACTGAAGTGAACACACTGTATCTCAAGACACGACACCGAGTAATAGCAGAGAAAAATTCATGAAATTATAATGTAGACTATAAGAAAGACATAAATTACTTTAAAGTAAAATAAAAATCTCATTTCATAGTTATTTCATATAAAAATTAAAATATTATCATTAAAAATTTAACTAATACATTTTAAATGAGAAGCATGTCATAAAAATAAAGTTTAGGATCGAAGTGGAAGCATGAAAGTAAAAGAAAAATGCCACAAGAAGGGCCAATTTAACAATTTTAAAATTAAATAAACGTTAAATAAATTAGTACAAAAGAAAATTCAAATATTATAGTATCAGAAAAACACATAGGCTAGAAGTTTATTATTAAAATTGTCATGCAGAATGATATAATATAAAAATTTCTTGTAAATTAGTTTTAAGATGTATAAAATTTACTACGCAGTTACAAAATACAAATTACGCCGTAATTTAATTAAAATAAAAGAAAGTGCGCAGTTAGAAAACAATATCATGGATACAAGTGACGAATAACAAAAGGACAAATCAGAAAATTTACCTTGTAACGGAAAACAACAGAGCATCGTTGGGAAGTAAACAAGTCGGGAGGAGAAACAAAGTTGGTCCGAGACACTGGTGAGGGGTGCATGTTATCCTGTAGCTCCCCAAATAACATCGTAGAACACCAAGAAGCAACCAACTCAGACACAAAAACCATCTTCAAGAGACGAGTACAGCTGTCAAACTACGACTAAAAGTGAGGTGAGACTGATGATTGAACATTCCAAAGCAGAGATAATGAAAATTGTAAGTCAACTGCCTAAGCATATTCTCCAAAACATAAATTAAAGTGTTGCGAATTCGAAGTAAAAAACATTTTGCGAAATTGAAAAATTCATTTCAAACCACAGACAATGTCATTGGATAAAAATTAAAATGATATATTTGAACATTTCATAGTATAAGGATTAGTTTAGTTTCTGTGTTCTTAATATAAGTGAGTTTGTTTCGTAAAACATTTAAAACAGTACTAATTGGTTAACCAAACATTTTCTAAATCATGTTAGGTAGAGTTAAGAAATTTATCAGTTATTAAGTCATGTAAAAGTCCATAACAAATCTAGTTTCTGTGTTTCTTAAAATATTGTTCGAAATTTAAAGATGAATAATTAATAAATATCATATTGTGAAAATCGTTAAAAATTGCTTTCATTCAGTGCTACTTACTCAAATCAATAGTGATAGTAAATTTAAATAACATTGAACCGCNTTTAATAAAAATTGTACGAATACTGTGTATTTGACATTAAACAGTCTTCACATTTTATTGGCTTTATTAGAGATCTTGTTACGAAACCGTCAATATATACTATAATGTACTTGCTAGTGTCCAGTCTTGTTTTTTAATAGCCTTCACCCATCTTCGTTTTATGTCAACATTCCTTGGAAATCTGTAAAAATTTAAATATTAGGTTTGGAAAATCGAAGGGTACTTAATTATTTTTTTTTGTCACAAAACTCTCTGATTTTTCTAATCACATTTTGCCAACTCTCCTTTTCAAGGGTGCTGAACATGAATCTGAAATTAGTTTTGTTTGCGATTTTTTCAATTGAAAAAAACATTTAATTAATTTTCAGCTTTCTCGAAATGACGGGAATTAGTAAAATTTCATAAAAATTTGTGACTCACATAAAGCAAATAATTACTAAAAATATTTTACAGTAATTCACTCATTATTTTATAATAACAATATCACGTTAATCACTACACTATATGGGCGAACGAAATTATAAAGCTAACCCTGGAAACTTGTGACGTCAACCGAAAAATGGCATACATGTTTACCTTTTATATATTCCTTTTTTTATATACCTAAAGAAGGAAACTTTTCGCCTCCCTTCACAAACTCGATCACTTCTATTTATACAATGTTTTACAATACACTTGACCATGATAAAACGTCTAATTATTGAAATCACACCGATGCGTACACGTCAAATGCTAGGACACAACTGAGCGCTGGGCTCCAAATCAGGCTCCTAAGTGTTTTCACCAAAGTCGCTCTATAAGTCAGTCTAGGTGGCCTGTGGTAAGTAACACAAACCTTTATAAATAAATAAATAAATTGTAGAGAACAATATGCAAACAGTTACTTTACTTTAAGTTATTTATTATGAAAAATGATTTCTCGAAACGTGTGAGGTGTTACACTCACAAATATTTTATGTAAAGTTGGTTATTTTAATGGCTTCTTATTCTAAATATTCAAATTTTATTTTGTTATTTTATTTTCACATTTATCGAGATTTATTTCAGCAAAATAAACATTAAATAATGCTTTAAAAAATATCTTTCCGTGTTTTTATTTTTCTAATTTTTACTTAGGAAATAACGTAAAACAGTTTTCGATTTTTTACCATATTACTAAATCTCCGGTGCAGAATAAAAAGGCAATTAAGGGGGCGATTTAGTATGTATATTTTTACCGTGTATGAGGACACAAATCATTGAAGAAACTAACATAATTGAATATTATTATATATCAATGTATTCGCAATGGTTCCCTCTAGCGAGTGAGATAAATGTCAGTGCTCATGAGAACAGAAGAATAATTTAAATAAATGCCAAAGTACCTCAATTTTAACCATACTGTTAGTCTGTCAATATATTGTATTTACGACGGAACTAGGTAAGTCACAATAACCAAACTACTTCTCACTAGAACGGACACCTAGGATCATTTGTATTTAGTTTTCAGATTAATATTTATTAATAATTCTATAATTTGTGTCCTCAAGTAAAATGACAACATTTTACACACGACTCCATTATTATTATATATTTAAACCAGAATTGTAGCGATTCCTATCTGAATGCAAGAAGTAAGTATAATTAGTTTGTATACTCTGTCACAGGTGTCGCTACACTTGAAAATGAAAGTGAAAACACAGAGTTGGTTTATTATAAAATGCGTGCTAAAATAAAGCATAATGGTCTAATATTATCTTTGATATATAAATATGGGTTAATTTTTTAAAAGTACCTAAATAATAAGATTTTGTAAAGCTTAAGTAGTACGAAAATATAACGCATAAAAGACCAATAATATGTACTAATAAAGATTAAATTTTACGTACAGGGGAAAATTAAAATAATTATGAGTGACCTTTAGAAATTAAAATATCGATTTTAAATTTTCAGAATCGAGATTTTTTTCAACCTAGAAAATGATAAAATAACGAGAAAAAAAAAATTTAAATAAAAAATTCAATTTTTGACGAATTTGGAAATATTTAAAANATGGATTATTGGCATCAAAATGTGTAGCACTACCGGAGTCTACATCTTCGTACTAGAGCTTTTTTTGCGTATGTCGATGTAATTAAATTATACAGTTAGTTATTCGAAATTTTTTGACTATGAAAGTTTTCTTTGTAGGCTTAGAAATTATCTCAAAAATAGGTTACATTTTATTATCGAAATATGATCATTTTATTATCAAAATATCAGTCACCACTGATTGTATACCTGGAAGTGATTATTAAAGTGTAGCAATGGTCTTAATGTTTTTGTGATCTGTTGCTATCAAATGTAATTCAGCGAATAAGACCATTGGTACTAAATAATCTGTTTACTCGGAGACATTTAAGATAATGAATCTTTATCACCTTTTAGCTGACAAACGAAGCATTTGTGAATATAAAGTTTCATTTATTCATTTCAATTTTGGAATATTGTACCCTATATAGTTTTCTTCCACGGCATGGCAGTTAATGTATCTTTATTATTATTATTTTTTTATAGGATGATACTTATACAGAGAGCTACATCAGTACTATTGGTGTAGATTTTGTGAGTATTACATACATTTCTATTCTATATCTATTTCATAACATATTATTAATTGTCTTTATCGTTGCAGAAAATCCGGACAATTGATCTAGATGGAAAAACTATTAAATTGCAAATTGTGAGTACTTTATAATAAAAATTAGAATTAAGATCATAACCTATGGAAAATAAATATTTTTCTACATAAACATAAATTTTAAAATAAATGTATAAAAGAATATTTTTAATGAATTACTGTGAATGACTTACAGACTAAAATAAATTTGTAGCAATTTTTATAACAAACATATTGACTTATATTACCACCCTAATTGCTTGCTTTTGTATCTATTTTGGCATGTGATGCACGAGATAGATCAAAATTTAATTCTTTAAGTAAGAATCGGCAAAAAGAAAAACACTTCTAGCAGAACCAGAAAATAAAAATGTTTCAAGCTTTTTCTTAATGTTTGTTTTGTTATAATTGGTCGATGAAGCTATTTTACTATTTATTTTAGTGGGATACTGCAGGACAGGAAAGGTTCAGGACTATTACATCTAGTTATTACAGGGGGGCACATGGGATAATTGTGGTTTATGATTGCACAGACCAAGAGTCCTTTAATAATGTTAAACAATGGCTAGAAGAAATCGATCGCTACGCATGTGATAACGTCAACAAACTACTTGTAGGAAATAAAAGTGATCTAACAACAAAGAAAGTTGTTGATTTTACCACTGCCAAGGTATGTAATTAAAGAACAGTTTTCGATTTCATTATTAGTTCTACATTTTCATTAATTTCGAATAAAAATATGTTTATGAAATTAAAAGCCTTAAATATAAATTCAAAATGACTGATAACAGCTTTTGGAAGATAAATTTTTATAAATATTTTTACAAAAAATTGTAAAAAAAATAAATAACTAATTGTAAATGTGGAGTTTTATGTGCATATTTCTTGTAAAATCTTTGAATTTTTATAAATAGTGAGTAGTGAGCAGGGAATGATTGAATTGTTTTTCAGGAATATGCGGATCAGTTGGGTATTCCTTTCCTTGAAACATCGGCTAAAAATGCTACAAATGTAGAGCAGGCATTTATGACAATGGCGGCTGAAATCAAAAATAGAGTGGGGCCGCCATCTTCGGCTGCTGATCAGGGTGGAAAAGTCAAATTTGATGCAAGTCGCCCAGTGGAAACTACCAGATCAGGATGTTGCTGAAAACTGCATCTGTTGGTATGTAATGAACAACTTTTATTTTATGCTTAACCAGATATAGTTTTTCCGAAGTCAGTTGAAGAACCTATAATTTCAAAGTATGTACCAGGCTCGGTCGCTAAGCAGCAACTCGGCATTGAAATATTTGAAAAACTTGTTCCCATATTTATTTAGCCATACCCATATATAGGTCTGGTCGAACTAAACGTGCAGGTGGTAGAAATGTATACGACCAGTTGAAGAATGCGAGCGCGGGCAAACGAAATGTAACACAATTGTATTGGGCTTCTGACAATAAATCACAGCAGGCGACAAGTGGGTCATAAATTGCCCAGCAGTGCAGTGCTGCAGTGAGGAATTTGGTGTTGTGCAAAACCCTACTTATCTTATCAAATCCCACGTCACCTGTTACATGAGTGTTGTATAAGAATGAAAAAGTAATATTAACGGTTGGTAGAAGGAAGCGCAAAAAAGCAAACGCCTAAGTGGGGCAATTCTGGAAGGAAGCCTAGTTAGTTGAAGATAGGCAGTTGAAGTGAGAACAGCGCGGAGTGAATAGTAAGACGATCAGTGTAGTGTGAAAAATATAGAAGTAGTGGAAAAGTGTTTAACCGGCATTAGCTAGCAGGTAATATTCCCTAAGTACTTTGTTGTTAACTGTTCTATGTAATCTTATGATTGGGATGTTTATAGATGTTTCATGATAATAATTCTTTGTATGTTTAGCTTCCATTGCTTCATGCTCAAGGGCATATATTTTTCTAAGGTAAAATTGTTACAATTATTATTAACGATTGCTCATTATTTATTACATGTTAAAATATATATGTATGTATATATATATTGTAATGATTGTGTATGTGTGTATAGTCTTGTATGTTTTATGTGTTAGCGCCAAAATTAAAATTTATGTGTATTGATATTAATTTTGTTTAGATTGGTGTATTATGTGTTGTATATCTTTGCCCTATCTAGCTTGAGACTCTATCTCTGTAGTCGGTTCCAAGTGTTAGCAAAAACCACACCAAGCACAGCTATAAAACAAAGGTTTAGTAATAAATGTATTTATTAACAAAATTTCTATATATGTCAAAACTTGTCACTCTATTTCTTAAATACACTAGTTAATATATTTTGAAGTATGTCACAATGTTTCTAAATCTTTATATAAGAAGTTATATTGATGATCTCGTCAAGTTAAATTTCATGCACTACTGGTTGCATACCTCAAAATATTGTAGTAATAACTTCTTATATAATATTTGTTAATTTTCTCTACTATTAAAATTTAATGCTATAACAACTTTGGCCAGTTTAAAATATATGAAGTGAATTAGATTAATTTAATTGATATTGTATTGATGATTTGCTAAACGTTTACTATTAATTTTTGTTCTCTATATTATATTTCGTATACGATTTGTTTTTATTATCAAAAGGTACCTTT